TTCTTCGTCATCGTCCGCCTCTCAGCCTCCGCCGCGATCGGCCTCGGCGTCGGCAATGCAACTCACCACGGCGTCGGCTCTTCGAACCTTCGCCGCGAAGGACAGAGTTGCACTGCTGATCACCGCGACTTGCGCGCGTCCCTTGACTTATTTAAAAAAAAGACTAACAAAGCTATGTGAGGCGGTTCGGCGAGCCGCCTTACAAGGAGGTCAACCTGCATATATATACCAAATTTCAAATTTTGAAAACTAATTATATCTTCAGGTCCGATTTGCCACGCCCCTCTTAAACGTAGATATATAATTTTTCCACACATCTTTAAAGAATCGAAACATTAGCTCACCTGTAAAGCAGCATTCCAGACTTATAACTTTGGGTGATACAGTTTTATCCGATTAACCACGCCCCCAATAGGCGGAGATATATCCGTCATAGCTGGGATCGGGAAAATTTTAACACTTTATAGAGTTATTATTGGAGATATACACAAGTATGTGTTCCAAATTTCAAGTCTCTAGCTTAAATAGCGCCGAAATGAACTGCGTTCATATGGACAGACGGACAGACGGGCGGACGGACGGACAGCAAGTAGACATTGCATTCACTTTCGTGAATGAGTATAAAAATGTATGACAGATGAGGCGTGACAGACCCCAAAAAGTATTTAGATTCTTCATGGCGACATAAGTCCGTATGTTTTTCAGAAGATATATTTTTTCCTAGGTCGGTGTATATCATTCACATATCGAGTATTTTTAAAAAAATCGATCACTTGTTCCGTTATTTTGTTATCGATTAAAACCATAATCAAAAGCAATAATAAATTAATGTCTACTACGTCAAACATTTCTACCATACAATAATAACGATCTAAAGGTTTTATAAAGATAGTCCATCCACAAGAAGTGTTATTAAACAATTAAGTTCCCGTAGTAAGCCTACACTGCATCCAAAGCGTGTTAGTGCGTGCGTTCGTATGCCTGGGTGTGTGTGTGTGTGTGCATGTGCATGTGCTGTTTCTTGTGTAAGCAGAAAGGAGCCGAATAATTATTTTCGACTAGAGCTTTTTTACTTCTTTTAAATCCTTTATTTAGATAATTCTTACAGTTTACAGATTAATGTACAAATTTATATAGTTAATTATTAATATTTCAGGATTTTTATCACTTTATGACGGTCTAAGCGCTCAATTTTTACGACAGCTTTCTTATACGACGTTACGATTCCATCTGTACCAAGTGGGAAAACGATATGTCGATGAATACAATTTCATACACAAGGTTTGCGTGGCGAGCATATCTGGCTTTGTGGCTGGGATTGTCGGAATACCTTGTGAACTGGTTAACACTCGCATGCATGTGGATCGGTTGCTTAAAGTGAAATATAGGCGAAATTATAAAAATGCCTTTGATGGTCTGCATAAAATATGGCGGGACGAGGGGTTTAGGGCACTCTACACGGGAGGCTTATGTTCTTTTACTCGTGCCACAATTATTAATATTGGACAGAATGCGATGTATGATCAGGTCAGAAACTATTTTGGTTTAATTATTAGTATCTGTATCTGACATTTGCAGAGCAAAATGATGTATACGCACTACTATGCGTGGAACGAAGATAGTAAAATCCTGCATATAACAAGCTCACTCACTGCAGCCGTTTGGTGTGTTCCTTTGGTTCAGCCCATTGAGATACTTAAAACGATGCAAATGAACAGAACGACCGGTTATTTAACCACAACCTCAGAAAAGATTACGTATATGATGCGCTTCGGTATCAGGGGTTTATTTCGTGGCATTATGCCAAATCTGTTGCGAATGATTCCGCAGACAATTATTATGTTTTTATTGTATGAGCAGTTACGATTTCAATTTGGCTATTATGAATAATATATGCATACAATTCTCTTATACTAAGTTTGTATACAATAAACAAGTAAGAAAGCTCTCGAAAGCTGCTCGACTACGAGATCCCCTGAACCCTTCGAGCAACTGATATTTCAATAATA